GACTCATGCTGCTAGCAGGTGCCCGGCACAAGCCCTCTGTAACAACTCCAAAAGCTTGGCCAGAAAGAGGGGGACAGGTCTCTGGGGATGTCTCTCGCAGGGTGGACAAGGGCCCTGGCCGGCCACCCACAGCCGGGACCCCAGAGCATCCAGCAGGCGCTGCAGCCGGAACACAATAATCCCCACAGTTGCACCCTCCTCAAACCCAATCACAGACAGCTCCAGCCTGAAGCAGCCTAGAGTCTCAGCAGGACACACCTGTGGGGACAGAGTGGACTGGAGTCTCGGGCAGGAGGCTGATCCCAACTCTCTACCCCTAGAGCTTCTGACGAGTTCCCTAGATGGTGTAAGCAGTTTGCGACGAATTGCTAACCTAAAAGTTGGCATTTGAACCCACCCAGTGGCGCCTTAGAATGCTCCTCAGAAGCAAGGATGACGAGATTTTGTCTCATATACATCGGACGCGTTATCAGGAGGCATCAGTCCCTGGAGGAGGACTTCATGCGTGGTAAGGTAGAGGGTCAGCGAAAAAAAGGAAGACCCTCAACGAGATGGACTGACACACAGTGGCTGCAACAATGAACTCAAGCATAACAACGATTGTGAGGATGGTGCAGGACTGGGCAGTGTTTCGTTCTGTTGTACACGGGGTCGCTACGAGTCGGAACCAACTTGACGGCACCTCACAACCAGTGGCACCACAGAACAGAGGCCTTGCCGTCTGCTTCTGTAGGGATTATAGCCAAGAAAATCCTATGGATCTCAATTCTAGTCTGTAACACACGGGGTCACCAGGAGTCGGAATTGACTTGATAGCAACGGGTTTAGGGCTTCTGACTTGTGGTCCAGGACAAGGCCCCTCACCTCTCTGGGCCTCAGTTTCCTCCCTTGTAAAACAGGACTCAGAATAATCCTTACCTTACCTAACTTTGTGCAACTTAGTAAAAGGTACCTTAAGGCATTTCTAAATGTTGGAAAAATTGCCATAATGTGCTGATTTAGTTAGAACAGAATACTTCAGTGGCATCCTCTGGAACATTACCAAACATACTGTACAAATCCACAACATCTAGGATGTGAATACCATCCTTGTAGATGTGGGGTCCTTGTGCAGTGTACAATCTTCAGATCCATACATGGTGGCCCTGACTATCTATAGGGTTGGTATGAAAAGTAAATTAACTACTTAATATACAGTCCTTAAAGCTCTTAGACCAGTACCTAGCACAGGGTAAAACCCATTGCTGTTAAGTTGATTCCAACTCACAGTGACCCTATAGCACAGAGTAGAACTGCCCCGTAGGGTTTCCAAGAAGCGGCTGGTGGATTCAAACTGCCAATCTTATGTTTTTATTTTTTTGGTGACATTCTTT